ACCACTGGATCGATCGTCATCTTTATCCAAGACACAAGGAGTGCTTGAATGGTCCACCAATCTTCTAGATCAGGTGAGCCTTCTGCAGGTCGTTCGATTGTTCCGTCCAGAAATCCAAAAAAAATTTCGAGAACACAGCGTTGTTTTCATGCTACATGCCCATTCATCATAGTTGCTTCCTTTCAGCAGCGGATGCGAAATTACAGCTCCGGGATTGTCAGCAGAGGTCAGATCGTAAGGTGAGATCGTTCTTCTCACCTCCATTGTCGGGTTCGGGTTCTGGGCAGGAATCGGGTTCGGTTGTGGAACTCCACCAAGAGGAATTTCATTTCCTTCACCAGCCATCGTTGTTCGTCGTAAAGAAAATTCAGATTTGTTTTTTTTCAGGTTCTGATACCATGAAATAAACAGAGATTCAAGAGTTTGTCTTAGATTTGATTGAGAAAGGTTACATGTACATATATAGCTTAAGAGAACACGATCTCTATGTTAAATATACTTTTAACATGAACCCTAAGATCTTAAACATCTAGATTAATCACATAATAGAATCATAAAGAGGGTTCAAGAAATACCTCCACTCATTGTAGAAATGATGCTTACTTGAATGGTTCCTTTGATAGTAAAGCTTTCTTGATCAATGATTTGTAGACTTGAAAAGGAAACACTTAGATCTTTAGGTAGGAGTTAAGGTTTCTCTCCCCTTGCCTATTAGTCTTTCTCTCTAAGTGTTGTTTTTGTTCATTAATGTTTGTGATGGAGCAAAGCATCTATTTATAGGTGGGGAGAGGACCTTATTCCTCATTAGAGTTTGCCTTTTAATTTAATCTCAACCATCCATCAAAGTAGAGATCAAGGCCTTGGTGACATGTGTGAGGACATGTGTCTAGCATAGGTTCTTTATCTTGGTCCCAAAGCTACTCATAGCTTTCTCTCCAAGTTATTAACCAAAGCATAACATGTGGCTTAGCACTTGTCCTCCTCTTATTGTCTACTACATACATTAGGGAATTAACTCCTTAATAACCAATTATATTGGTTACCAAATGTTTAGTAAAAATATAACAATCCCATAAGAAACCAATTAACTATAAGACCACATACATGGGTAAGAAATAATTATTTTCTTACACTCTACGCTATCAACGGATCATATCTTTACAAAATATAGAAACAATACAAACATCACAGATTTTGTGGAGCAATTCTGATATGCAATCCTGATTTAACGCCAACTTCCTTTTCATGCAACTTCATGACCAAGTTAGATACCAGACCAACTTAAACCAATTGTCAATTACAGTAAACCGAATCGCCAACTCCAACACAGCTCTACGATGCATTTGATGTAAAAACTTGTTTTTTTAAAATGAATTTTACATTCAAAAAAAAAAAAAAGATATATATTCTTGGTGATTTGGAAACCAATGAGTCTTTTGCAAATGAAGACACCGAAGATAATGGCAAGATCGATGAAGAAGTGATAGATTTAAATGATAACCAACAATTAGCGGAACAATTCAAGGGCTTTTCTTTCCCATGACATTGATTTGTCATGATTTTTTTTCCGTAAGAAATTTTTTTACCATTTTTTCACGATTTTGTATCGTAAAATTTTCCTACCATTATTTTACTAATTCAAATTTTTGTCAAAAAATCATAGGTCAAAAGGTAAGAAATATTTCCTACCAAATATTTAGTAGGAAACTTCCGATCTGTTTAGAATTTTGAAAATTACTGTCATTATTAAATTTTTAGTAGGAATTTAAGTAAATAAACAAAAAAATCTACGTGGAAGCCCCTTGCCATAGTAGTCAAGGGCTTAAAGACTTTTACACTAGATATTGTGTTCAATTTCTGGATAACGCAATTTATTTTTCTAGACTATTGATGCAAAGTATATTGAAAGTTTTTGAGTACTTCATGCGGAACCGTACGACGTGGTCTCGTGTATTGTGGAGAGTGCTTGTGCATCAAATATCATATATGTAGAATCTGTCTATCGTGGATCCAACTGTTACAGGAGAGTTTCATTATAAAAATTGTTGATCATTGAAACACCATCCCGCCTGACAGGCCAAAACAAGTGTTATTCATATGGCTCAGCCAAAACGCTTATTTTTTTCAACATTCACCGGTCAAAAAATTTGTTCTACGTCTTATAAAGCTTATTAACCTGAGAAAAAAATAAAAAGGGTGAACTCAATGGCGAAATTCTAATCACACTCAACAATAAGTGCATAGCATAGAATCAGACTTCACATTCTCTAACATACGTCCAAAAACATAATGGTTTCATGTAATGCTCAACCTAGAAAATGATCATACTATTATTTAAACCATATTTCTCATACTAGCAAACTCAACGATATACACCGAAATGTCATCGGCTTAGCCTGACACGAAACAAATCTCAAGTTCGTCCAATCACTTGGCACAAAACCAATCTCAGTTTCGTCCAATCACTTGGCACAAAACCAATCTCAGGCTCGCCCATCATCATGCACGAAACCATGCAACTATATCATGTATTTATCGTCTTCATACACCAATGGAAATTATCAAGTTCCAAACACTTACAAAAACAACATGCAATCAAAACAACATTAGATAAGAGAAAAATCAAGAGATAACTACTTACTTTGAAAGAAAAAAGTAGAGATATTTCAACAAAAATTTGGCTTAAACGATCTTTGCCAGTGGAATCAATAAGTTTTTAAGTGTTGAGTGATGAGAAATCACAAAGTTTATTGTTCACGCCTTATTAACGTGTTCTTCTTTCACCAAGTGTCGTTATCTCAATTGGTAAAGACCCTAGGCAAAGCTTAGAGGTCGCCGGTTCGAGTGACGCTTGGGACGAAACTAATATTACATGTTGTGGTTTCGGGTCTGGGGGATTACGGGTTTTGGCCCACAACCTCCTGGTATTCAAAAAAAAAAAAAAAGTGTTCTTCTTTCTTTTTTCTCTAAACTAGAAGAAGAAAGAAAGAGGGGTGGCTGAAATTTAAAGCCGTATCAAATTTGAACCTAAGTAAGTGTGGATATATGTGGGCTCACACAAACGAGAGTGATAATCTAGGTACGCAACGAGAACGTAACACCCCAATTTCTAGAAGTTAGAAAAATTTAATTTATTTACCTATATCAAGGAAGGTTGTGTCATTGTTACGACTACAAAGGTGAAGCTCACATGGCTTCCAAATGGATCCATCTCACATTAGCATAGTTTGATTATCTAATCACCCAGAAGAATGTACTAATCGGTTAATGCATTTCAACATTTAATTTACTAATTAATCGCGAGCCCAATTTTGCAACACAAACTTGAGTAATTTATTTACCAACTTAAATGTTAGGATATTGGTTTCGCGAAATTGGAAAAGTCAGAAAACTTCATAGATTTGTTACTTTATATAGTAGATTAGGATCAATGTAATACAAACATCACATATATGTTTGAGTTAAATATATTTTCCAAAATTAACTTATAATAAAACTGGTTTACTATAACAATTACAATTATTTGAGTTGGTATTAGTAGGTTTGACCGTTTGAGAATCCAAAATTCAATATTTTCTAGTTTCAAATCATAGTTAAAGAAAAGTTAAAGTACATTTTCGAAGATAATTTAACAACAAAAACATATTGCAACTAATATCACACATAACTAACATATAATATCCATAAAACTTAACTACAATTTTACTAAAAAGGTTACCAAGCTATCAGAATTGTTTTCAATAAAATGAAATTATATATTTATAAATATATCCTCTTCAAGGTTTAAAACACGTTTGAACTTACAAGGAAATGACAGCAAAACCTATTAGAGATAATAATATTCCACATTCGAAAAAACAAGGGATGCTGATGGGTATAGGAAAACCGGTATAAATTAATATTCGATAAATTAATGGCTAAAAAATACATCATCTCGAGATGGTATATTAGGGATCTTGACAAGTATATAAGATAAAGAAGCCAATTCAATCACTGCCAATTGGTGTTATTAAGTTAGAAGCTCATATTCTAGTAAAACCCACATTTAAAGCCTTTTAATTTTTTTGTAAATACTGTAGTATAATTTATAGTAAACTATATATAGGAAAAAAATATTGAGTTAATTAGCTGTGAGACAATACTTTTTGACGAAATCAATTTTTTGGTAAAATGAGCTGAAGCCCAAAAAATATTTGAAAATATAGATAATGATCCACTAGAGGTATTACGCTTAGCGGAAAAAGAGGCACAATTGTGGCATTCAGCTCAACTAGAGCTTACTAATGAAAATCAGGGCCATGTGGAAGTGGTAAATCGATCTCGAGTGAAGGATGCCTCACTTGACTCGACCTATTCGGGATACCGTTGTTTTGTGGACGGATCATGGAAAGAAAGCGACAAGTTCTCCGGGACAGGATGGTTTTGTACATCATCAACTGGAGAACCACCAACAATGGGAGCAGCAAACCTCCGTAGAAGTCTATCTCCATTACATGCAGAAGTCGAGGCCCTTCTTTGGGAAATGAAGTGTATGATTGGTGCAGATAACCAAGAGGTAGCGTTCTTTACAGACTGTTCTGACTTGGTGAAGATGGTGTCTTCTCCAACCAAATGGCCGGCATTTTCAGTATATTTGGAGGAATTTCAGAGCGACAAGGAAGAATTCCAAGTTTTTCTTCTTTATCTTTAATTTCTCGTAGTGCTAATATAAAAGCGGATAATCTGGCACGACAAGTTCGTACAGAACCGCTTCATATCACATATGTAAACAACATTCCTCAGGAATGACTCTTTTGAGATTTAATTAATTTCGGATGACCAAAAAAAAAAAAAGAGCTGAAGCCCAAAACAATGAAAATAATTATCCCATTATTATGCCTTCTTTGCCTCCACGCGCATGAGCTTTCTGATCCAAAAATTAGCCCATTACATGAGACTTTGCAGTGAATTTATGTCGTTCTCGAGGCAATAAAGGTGTCGTCTGACTCTTGGTTACCACTATCTCTCTTCTCAACATCTCGCCTTTTCTCTCTAAAAATTCTAAGTCCCATCATATTCCATTTTCGAATCCAATGGTTCATTCCTTTGTGATAGGAGACGACGCCAGTGTTGTCACTATTAATTCGCCGTTAGTGAGGATTCTATGTAGCTGTAACGGTAAGCCGGCGATTACACATCGCGGCGGTTGGCTGTTGGAAAATCATGTCGTTGTTTCGATTTTCAATCAAAACACAGTTCGCTATAGTTGCTCGTTTTAGATTTTTTAGAGTCTTTCTCCATTGTTTATATATTCAAACACATTCATAACCATTCCTCTTTTGATTCTTCATCTTCCCATACGCGATCTATTTAGATCTCTATTTGGATGTTTAAATCCTTTTGGTCCTTCACATATTTTTGTAGATTTCTACTTTGCATGCTTAGATCCACTTGGTCCTTCACATATTTTTCTTATGTTTAACTCATGTTTTGGTTCTAATCATATATCTTCTTTTTTATTAGGGTGACTCCTCATCTGATTCAGGTGCCGCGAGCAGCAGGTCTAACCCGTCTACTAATGAAGCGGTTTGTAATTCTATTATGCTTATCGACTCCCTTTCCAATCATTAATATTCCCCAATATCCTTACTCATACGTTTTCTCATAGGATGAGGTTGCTACAATTGGAGGAGATGGCGGTGATGGTCAGTTATTGGCTGGAGAAGATGTTGCCTCAATGTGTGCAAAGTTTAAGAAGCTTATGGTTACTCTCATACCCCCCATGTAAGTTTTTCCCAATCACAAGAGTTGTTTTGCTATTATTAAGCCTTGTAGTGTTTCCAGAGATAATAAACCTTCATACATATTCATAACTTGATATATTATTTATTAAATACATATGTAATTTCTTTACATATGTGTAGGGAATTCGGTGAAGGTTTAATCTTAAAGGATACCGACCTGCTCCAGATCCCAACTAACATTCCTCCTGACTATCCCCATGTCAGCCCCTGTCTTACTTCTATCTCTTTTTTATGCTACTTGTTACTCATGTTTTGTATATTTCTTTAGGTCATGGACGCGTGTGTCAATGTTTTGTGAGAGTCACTCTTCAACAACACAGACCCTGTTACTGACCCGCGGGCTGACTTGCTTCCTTGTAAGTTCCATGGCTCTCTCGCTATTTTGTTTGCTAAATTCAAGAAGTCGAAGCGCAAAGAAACTTTTGAGTTTGATTCTGCTCTTCTGAACGAGATCACTACGAGCTTTAAGGTCAGAGGCAGAAAGTGGCTGGCGCACATTAATTCTTTGTTGTCCCCATTCAACATAGATAAAAATCGGTGGATAGTTGTTCATATTGACTTGCCCTCCCATAGCCTAACTGTGTTTGACCCTACAACTGCTGTCTGGCGGGGTTCGGATGGTTGGAGTCAGTAAGTTCATGAAAAATTACCCACTCCACCCCTTACTTTCGCTAGGAATACACATGTGTCCCAAGCCTCTAACCTAGCTAACAGTGGGATTCTTTCGCTGCTATTTTGGAAGCATATATGACAGGCAGGATTGATAAGGTGAACTTCATTAATGAGGCTGGCATGCGCCAGCGCGCAAAGCAGTTGATGGTGCAGATGTACGAGCATTGTTGTGGTGAACTCATTGAAGACTGACGTTGGTCCTATGTATTTCTTTGGACTCCCATCTATCTTTTTTCCATTTACAACTCTTTGGCTTGATCTTAATTCCATTCTCCTCTCCATTTCTAATGAACTTTAAGTTGTTTTTTGTTGTCAATTACTTATGAACCTTATGTTGTATTTTTAAGTATTGTGGTACCTTTTGGGATTTGTGTTTCACATCTTCCTACTGTTTATTATCATTTTAACACTTAGCCTGCTATCGTATTTTTAAGTATTATGGTACCTTTTGGGAATGAGTGCAAATGCATGTGTAGGTGGAGAACGATAGTACCGGATCCCGCACCCCGGATCATTTTAGTACATCGGAGGCCCATCTACTTACGAAGCTCAAGAAGGCCCATTTTGCATAAAGGAGGTGGTCAAATCTTGACATTAGTTTGTAGTTTAATTCATGAATTAATGGTCATGGTCAAAGGAGTAAACTTGTCATTCAAGTTTATGAATTGATTGTGAGAGTTATTTTGTGAGTTAATTCTAGAATTAATTACCAAGTAATGATACCTTGGGAGGATGAATTAGGCTATAAAAGAGAGGTGAAGACTCCAAGAAAAGGACCTCTCATCTTCTATAATATACACCCTTTAAGAATATTATTATACAAAATATTTTCTCTTTTTGTATTCGAACTACGTTTAGGCTAGATACCATTTTGGGTACGTAGGAAACTCGTCTCTCGAGTCCAGCTATTTGTAGAAATTATACTATTTTTTGGGACATCGAATTCTTGCTTGTAAGCTAATGCTATACCATTTTCTCTCTACACTTTTACATACACTTTTTACTACTTTTTATACGCATTTTTTCAAAAGATAAAAAATACCAGAAGAGCTAGACTTGCGTTACAGTTGTTTTATAAAGTTCCAGTTCCAAAATGGTTCTTATATTTGATCTTATGTGGACAGAGAATGGCACCAAACAGAAGAGGGCGTCCTGCAAACACCAGAGGGAACCAAGTAGGGGATGGACCAGCTGATGCGCAAGATCAACCACCTGTAGGTGGGATACCTGCAGAAGCTCAGGCAACAACGATTGCAGCAAATCGTAAAGAGATGCAGGAGCTCCGGAACATGATGCGTGAGATTCTGGATCGACCTATGTATGCACCCTCACCACCACCAGCACATGGAGTTGCTGCACCTCAGCACCATTAGCCACCACCACCAGTACCTAAGGTTGAGGTGCCTCAGCACCAGCAGCCACAGGCACCACTAGCACGGGCTGAGTATTTTGGGACGATGAAACTCATGGGTACAATGGGCACAAAGTACTTCTATAATGGATTTGATCAGGTTCGGGCTGATGACTGGAGACAGATGCTTGAGAAAAATTTTAGGACAACGAGGTGCCCAGAGGAGTTTAAGAAGGATTTTGCAGTGCACTACTTGCGGGGAGAAGCCGATCATTGGTGGAGAAATGTTGAGAGGAGCTTGCCTGCTGGATATGTGCCTACCTGGGAGGATTTCTTGAGGGAGTTCAATAACAAGTATTTTCCGTAAGAAGCTATGGACCAGCTAGATCATGAATTTGTGGAGCTTCGTCAGGGCACGAAGACTGTTTGAGAGTATGATGAGGCGTTCACTGGCCTAAGGAGATTATGTGTGAGGAATTTCGGAGAGCAGGACATGATGAGCAGATTCATAAGGGGATTGAAGGCTGATATTCATAATCGTTCCTCCATTCGAGCATGCACTAGCCTGGTTGAGTTAGTCGAGGAGGCTGCTACGATGGAGAGAGGACTTGACGAAGAAGCTAGGGATCTCAAGAGGGCTCAGGCAAAGGTAACAAAGGGAGTTGAATCTCAGAAACGTACATGGGATAACCGTGATGCCGGACCAAGTCAGAACCGTTACCCCAAGTGTACCAGGTGTAATAGGCAGCATGGAGGAGTTTGTTGGATGGATTCAGACAAGTGTTTTCAGTGTGGTGAAGTTGGTCATATCAGGGAGAATTGTCCGGAGGGTAATGATAACTGTAGGAAGTGTGGAAAGCTGGGCCATTATGCACGGGAGTGCACTACGTTTCTTGTAGAGGGAAACCAACCACTTCCTAAGAGACAAGCTTTAGGACCTCATGTGTACGCTGTAGAAGACCAAGGGCTTGATGTTGAGAAAGATAAAGTTTGAAATTAAATTTCCAAGGTCGTACAAGTTCATGTTCATGATCGCAACATTTGGTGTGGGCGGTTTAATCGTTTTGAGAGCAGATCTCTTTTAAGATTTTAGTTTGTTTTTTTATTTGCGTTTCCAGTTACTAGCCTATACTTAAAACATTTTTATTCAATTATTTAATGGTCAATTGAATTGTTTTAAGAGTTCTGTTTGGAATATCAAAGCTCTTTTAAGGACACGAATGGAGAACATAGTCTAACAAGAAATGTTGAATTCGGGGACGAATTCTCGTTAAGTGGGGGAGAATTGTGAGATCCATCTCAGCCCACTAAGGGTCCATCTAAAATAAAAACAAAATACCTAACGAGAACATATGTATATATTTGTGTGCTTATATAGAGGCTCATACAACGTCTATATGCTAAAATAAAGAAAGAAATCGCAACAATAAATGAAAATATGGCCTTTGGAAATTTAATGAGGGAATCGGCCAAATTAGGAAGGTTGTGATGCCTCTTGAGTCTTGATAACTTGGACTAGTAATGATGCGCCAAAGATGATCAGAATAGTGCCGTTGTGATTTGATCTCATTCGGCTCCGGAAAAGAAAAGTTATGGCTCATCGGGTTCTTGTATGGGAAGATGTAGCTAAGGTTGTGTGGAACACTTTCTAGAAGATTTAGAGTATCTCCAGGCTTCCATATATGATTTTGAGACGCGCACAAGGGAAAGAAATGGTAACTTTCCTTAATTGGAACAAGCTGGCGTGATACAAAAAGTACTTCAGGAAGTCCATCAGAAAGTCCTTCAGCGAGTCCCTCAGCAGGTCGTTCAGCAAGTCGATTGTGGAAGTCAAAACTTACACAATCAAAATTTGTCTTAGGGTTTCTTTTAGGGATACGATATGCGGGAATTCTCAAAGAACAACAGAAAAACTAGTAACCAAAGATGGTGTTCTTGATATTATTATTGATGAAAATATTAGGTTTAGATCGTATCAAAGAACTAGATCTCGAAAAGTAAAGTGTTTGTTTTTTTGTCGTGATTGCCTTCGAATATCAGAGCTTTTAGTAGTCTGAAGTCTAGAGCGTTTTTGCTTGTCCCCTTTTGTCAAGACCTTGAGTCGCTTTATATAGGGATAGTAAACCGCCTCTTCAGCGATATTCTTGGAAGATTTCCATTTTCCTCGGAGTCGGCTTAGAATATCGCGGATAAAGATACTTTCCTCATTCTTCGGAGGTTTTTGGAAGATTTTATGATTTGACTTGATCCATCGAGATTCTCTCCTATCATTTCCGAGTATTCCGGAAATGATCCAACGTTTTCGGAAATGGTTCCCTCTGTTTGGAAATGATGTCTTAGAGGTAAATATTTACCAAGTCTTTGCCTCGGGTTCTTCTGCAGACTCTCTCCTCGGGTGTTTTATTCGGGAAATCACCTCGAGCTGTTTTGGTGAAGCTGGCTCGAGCTGCTTGGTAAGGTCAGCTCGGGCTGCTTGGTGAGGTCAGCTCGGGCTGCTTTGTAAGGTCAGCTCGGGCTGCTCAGCTCGGGTTGTTTGGTAAGGTCAGCTCGGGCTACAGCGAACAGATGACTTACTCCCGAGGCGACTGTGAATAGCTTCGGGATCTTTCCTGAAGTAATGGCGATACGAATGGCACCTCGAGGTGATGAAGTTTCCCCGAGGTTAGGGCACTGTGCCCCGAGGCGATGGAGATCATGTCCCGAGCCGATTGACAACATTCCCCGAGGCGATAACAATGCTCCCGAGGCAATGCAGGCGATCAGAACGACCACGAGGTGTTTTCACTATAAGTGTTTGGCTCGGTCCACAGGGACGGTTTAAGTCCGACCCCAACAAAAGAAAAAAGCTACAAGAGGATGAAAGAGGAGGAATTCTGAAGGCTCCTAAAAAAGATAATTGGCTCTACAAACTTTTGTCATAACTTTTTGGGTTCCCTGTAATCTGCCATTACAGGTTTAATTCAGTTGTTGGTTGAATATTAGTCTAGAACATGTTAAGTCACTTTTTGGATCCTGTTTTAGACTAGTTCAGTTTATGCTACATGTTTCACAGCGCTAATGATTATCAAGTTTGTTCTTGGTAATCATATCTGTAGTACCTGCTTTTGTTCATGGTGGATTTGTTCACTTTTGTACTGGCTTGGTTTGTACTGGCTTATATATATTAAGATAACACTCTTGTGACCAAAAAAAAAAAAGTAAGTGGACTTTTCCGGTTCTGGTTTCAAAGACGAAGACATAACCGGCCAAACATGATCCCTTTCATGGTTCGAATCTCCGGTCGACCGGTCCCTTCCGGTTTTAAAAATGATGGGCTAATAACAAGTCAAAGACTCAAAAAAAAGTTGTTAGTTAAAAGTGTGCGTCGAATAATAGCTGCTCTCTTCTTTCTTCTTCTCTTCCCCAAAACCAAAAAAAGCTTCAATTTGGATCAATCCCGAAGAAGACGAACATAGAAAATCTCAATTAGATTAACAAAACCCTTCTCAAAACCAGTTCTCTATGTCAGGTCGGTCTTGTTCTCTTCCATCTTTTGATTCTGTCACTAAATCATATCAAGTTTTTATTTTTCGACATACCCAGATTGTGAATTATGTGTCAGATTATGCTTTACGCTTTTCGAAGTTATGGGTAGTTCTTAAAAATGGTTTATGTTGAAGCTTTGGTTAGGGTTTTAAAACCTGAATTTGTGAACTTTTATGTGAATTGTACCAAGTCCTTGTTAAAGTATGTATTTTTATAGGTAATCAAGAACCAATCTTGGTGAAAGAAGAGAGTGTGGTAGGTATACCAACACCACTCTTGAAGCTTAAAAGTTGGCAATGGTGGGTTCTTGTGTCTATTAACATCTTTTTCCTTATTGGTGGTCAAGCTGCTTCTGTTCTTCTCGGTCGGTTTTACTATGATCAAGGTGGAAACAGTAAATGGATGGCTACTCTTGTTCAAACTGCTGCTTTTCCTATCCTCTATATCCCGCTTTTGCTACTTCCGTCTTCTTCGAGTAGTGCAGACTCTTCAGAGACTTCTTGTTCACTCAAGTACATTGTTTTGATCTATGTTTTGCTCGGTGTGATCATTGCTGGTGACAACATGTTGTACTCTGTTGGACTTTTGTACCTCTCTGCATCGACTTATTCGCTTATTTGCGCTACTCAGTTAGCTTTCAACGCGGTGTTCTCTTATTTCATCAATGCTCAGAAGTTCACTGCTTTGATTCTCAACTCTGTTGTTCTCCTGTCGTTTTCCGCTGCTTTGATTGCTCTCAATGATGATGCAGACACTCCTTCTGGTGTCTCCAGGTCTAAGTATATTGTTGGGTTTGTGTGTACACTTGCTGCGTCTGCTCTCTATTCTCTGTTGCTATCTCTTATGCAGTTCTCGTTCGAGAAGATTCTGAAGAGAGAGACGTTTTCTGTGGTTCTTGAAATGCAAATTTACACTTCTTTAGTGGCGACTTGTGTCTCGGTTATCGGGCTTTTCGCTAGCGGGGAATGGAGAACGCTTCACGGGGAAATGGAAGGTTATCACAAAGGGCAAGCGTCTTATGTACTGACTTTGGTATGGACAGCGGTTACGTGGCAAGTGTGTTCTGTAGGAGTGGTGGGTTTGATATTTCTGGTGACGTCGCTCTTCTCAAACGTCATTAGTACGCTCTCTCTAGCTGTGACTCCACTTGCAGCTTTGGTTGTGTTCCGTGATAAAATGAGTGGTGTTAAGATTATGGCAATGCTGATCGCTCTTTGGGGTTTCTCTTCTTATGTTTACCAGAATCATGTCGATGACTTGAAAGTTAGACGAGCACGACAACAAGCTCAAGCCGGGCGGGTGGAACCGCCTTGTTGATTCTGCAATAATTCAGGCAGAAATATTGGTTTAGGATGCTATACGTTCTGATTAGATAAGCAACAATAATTGTCACTGGTATGACAAGCTACTTGTCTTGTCATATTGTTTTTCTAATATACTGGTGGTAAATGGAAATTCGTGACAAAATTTTGCGAGAATGAGAATTCGGAAATGAAATTTGTTATCTCATTTATTTCTGTTTGAAATTCAGAACTAGAATTCTTGAATGAATAATGTTTGTCTCAGTCAAGTGGTACTATAACTTAAGCTTTGAGCTCTTGAATTGATAACCAACACACCCCTTTGTGCTAGGTGTAATGTAATCTGTTGAACCTTGGATTTGGTTTTCTTTCGTTTTTACATTTTGTAGCGGTTCTTCCATGTCAACTTAGTCACAACTTCTCCGTTTAGCGAGTTGCTAAAGCACATCTCTAGACAAGTGCTCAGGTCATGACTTCACCATCTCTATTCAATCAAGTTACAGTATGTCGATTTAGTCGAGTTACTTCTGGCTCTTGTCTAGAATGCGAAATAGGCGAAAATGCGTTGTGCACCGCAAAAGCAGCATGAGCGGGCTTCTATTACTCTGTAACAATAGAGCAGGATATCAAGAATTCCTCCGGCAGTTCCTTGGACATTGCTTAATTTCTTCGACTATTCTATCTAAATTCCGAAATCTAGTTTAAATCCATTACCAATCTAGTCCATATGGGTAAAAGTCTTATGAGTTGATTAATGTGTCACTTATTTTAACTTGGGAATTGTCTTTAAGTTAAGTTTGACTTTGTAACTTACATCAATAAAATGATTTTGTACTTTAGGGTAATGTATAAAACAAATTTTCTTGAAACTTACACTTTATTTTGTTTTTTAGTAAATGTTATGCGTTACATTGGAAACGTTTAAGGAAAAAAAACAACTCTCATAGAAATCAAAACGAAATATTTATATGGGACAAGAATTTATAAAAACATATTTGAACAAAAATTCCAAATAGTTAAAACAAGAACTCTTTTCGAAATAAGATTTGAAACTTGGTCAAAATTGAAAATGCAATTTTTATATGGGACAAGAATTTGGAGACTACGGTGGAATCGATGAAGTGGGATAAAAAGATTCAACTTTAAATTCTTACAGGACATATAAGACAAGTTATGTTAACATAGGACAACAAAGAGACTACATAGAGTTTATTAAACTACAATAAACACAGAGAATTAACACAATTTATCTAATAAGATTAGAATTGTGATTAGGCCAAGAGCCAGAAATTCTTCTGCCATCGTGTATTGATCAAGTACCCACCAACACCTTTGCATTGTTTCCTCACACCAATCGTCAAACAATCTGCACCGTTGATGCACCGATTCACGAGCTCTTCTGATCTACTAGGTCCACATAAGCTACACAAACGACAACAAAAAATGTTAAGTAATTATTGATCATGATGGGGAAAGAAATCTGACGGTTGAGATGACGCACCAAGAGATGAGTGGTGCAGATTTCTTCTGACCCAACACAAGAACAGAGACTTCAAGTTTCTTTACTTGGCTTAATACTGTTGCTAGCTTTGGTCCTTGAATCACCAATGCCTCCACATCCACCTTTTTAGAAAAAAAATTGACATAATATAATTGTCTTATTACAATTTACCCTAAATCATTGAATCTTTTTAAAGATGTCACATTTCTTGACGCAAAAAAGATAGTACTAACTTCTCCAAAGTAATATAAAACTCACAGGGAATTTTGCAAGTAATTAATTACAATTAAAAATGGTGAATTATAGTTGTCTTTGAACAACTTTCAATTTTAAAAGCTAACTAGTATTCTTAAATGGGTAAGGACAGTTTTATGTTACCAACTATACTTTAGATCTAATTAGGAGTTTTTAAAACATTAGATCTAAACTAAGAAAAAAAGCTGCATTTCTTACTGAATAAAGCTTACTTTACAGAATGAATAATGATGAAAGTATTTTCTAAATCCAAAATAATTTCTTTTTTCTTACAAAAAAAAAAGTGAAGAGCCATCAGTCATCACTATGAGTCTATGACCATCACATAGACAGATTCTCTCACGCATGCACTACTCCAATACTCAAGTACTTCAACACAACTTTACATTAACCAAAAACAACAACAAACTTAAAACCTAAATGTGAGATTATTACTTCTCTAACTAATAGTTTCCAAAATCCAAACATAAAACATAGCAATAAGCTTAATTATAACCTTAATAAGCCCTCTCTTTTTTAGAATAATAGTAAGCTTAATTAGTACCTCAGGTTTGCAAGCTTTGCAAAGAGAACCAAGAGATTGAGCCAAAGAAGGAGAAGCTTCATCATGAGGAGAGACAACATGAAGAAGAGTCATTAAATCTCCTTTGTTAGTCAAATGAGTCAAAGCCCACATCATAGCATGCTTAGACCTTGAAGTGTCATCAACCACAACCATCACTCTCTTACTTCTCGCCGCCGTATCACCACCGGAGTAAACTCCATAAAGACCCTCCATTGAGGAGTAACCACCACCACAATCACCACCGTTTGTGTCCTCGTTAAAGGCTGTTGAGCTATCTCCGGAAGTCCACCTTTTAGAAGCTGATCTCCAACCTTCTTTTCTGCTTAGTTGCCTAAGGATCGAGGTTCTTGAAAATTGCATTTTTGGAGAGTTTGGTGATGGGAGCTCGATGCTTTTTGTAGTGTTAATGAAAGAGAGAGAGAAGAAGAAGAAGTAGGTAGTAGGAGAGTAGAGTAGAGAGAGAGAGAAAGTGAAGAGGCTTTGGTGTAAAACTCGAAAATGAGAAAATAGAAAGAGAAGAGTGAGAGAGATTTAATTGGTACTAGCTAATAAAGAGTGAGCGACAGGGCATTAAGGGTGAATCATGTGCCCACAATAAAGTGTGTTATTTAATTGCTTAACTTTATGCAACCAACAATTTTTTTTTTTGATAAAAGTTTTGTTTAGTTTAGTTTATTTAGTGTTTGGAATCGGAATTTACAATTCTAAAACGTCCAATTTAGTTAAGAAGATTTTGGATTCGTTTGGGTTATTTGGGCTAAAAAGTACTAGTACTAGTTAGAAACCTAGAGAATAGGCTTTTCTTCAATATAGTTTTAAGAGTTTGTCATTTTTTATTCACCATTTCAACAATGTCACTCTTTTCATGGTCACCAGAACATTTAATAATACAGCACAACTATTATGAAATATAGTCAATGCAAATGGTGGGACTTCATATTTAGTTAATTTTGTAATGAATAATGATTTTACGACGATAACGGTTAGGTTTTGATCTTGGCTTTCTTAAATTCTTTGCATGTATGAATACAATTAATCTGGAGCTGAAATTGGAAGCAATTACTGAATTACACATGAAGACTTTTACAAGTTTCCTTATTTTTTTAGGGTACGTCTCGATGTGTCATATTCACAATTTCACTAAGACTTTCAACACGTTACATACTTACATAGAGTTGATATCGATTCTATGTTTTGACCTTATAGATAGAAATTACAACAAAAATGGAGGTAAGGAAGAAGAAGAATTGTTCAAATAAGAATATTTTGCTTCAAGTCTGTTTTGATGCTTATTTTATGGCTTTATGTTCACTTTCTTTTTTCGGTAACGCGAGATTCGGTCTAATCACTTAACTCAAACCAATCTCAATTCATATATCGACAATGTACTACCTTGAAACCTACGATTAGCGGTCGCGACTCTACCCTAAAAACTCATCTGATCCTTTGATATGGTGATAAATTAGTCCTTAATTTATTTTAGAAAGTATTTTATATTTAAAAATATATTACGTATTCAAGAATCAAAAAAAGACATGTTGCATTCTATACAAGGGAGGTCGGTGGTGCCAAAATTATCTTGTATGGTTTGCTTGGTTGGCAGCCTCTCTCATGGACTTCTTTTGTGTCCTAGTTACATTTTTTTCTGGGATGCACTTTAGATCTCTTCAAAACGCTATTGGATTACCCTAATTAATCTTTTTATTGGAAAAATAACTCATAATAATATATTCACACAAAATAAGAAAAAAACAAAAAAAAACAATCATGGTGTTGGTGAAGCAGATCATCTTGGTCTAAAGATTTTAAGGACCAAAAAAGAAAATGGTTACAAAGTTTCAAAATTTAAATCATCATATATTTTATATATAATTAAGCCTCCAAAAATTTTCAAAGAGAACCTCCCAACCATATAAGCTTTTAGATAACGAAATTGTCATATCTCTTGTTTTTAGTTTTGAAAATGGAATTTAGAGAAAATATCTACATTGTGAAATCATATTATTTTCTTGTATGTCTCAAGTCTATTTACATTGATTGATTTGGCCATTTGGGGTTGAAGAGAACCACACTACTATCACACGAACTCGTTATCCGATTTTCCACTCGTTATATGTTGTTGACCGGTAGCTTTGCATGTTGCCACAATGCCACTCAAAAAGTGAACCAACACGAGCTTAATCATTTTTTTTATAAAGAACACGGGTTTGTTCATTCAAAGCTTTAATTATATAACTTGGAAATTTGATCACATATCAAATCATACATGAATACACCAATACACTAAGTCATATCAATAGTATAGGGTGGTCCAGAAAATGAGAAAGGATCTTATCTCTTACCCAATTAAACGTATCTCGGTTACTTTATACGTACGTAAATTTATGGGTTTCATATATGTGTCAGATTACCTCATTCACATTTTGCTTTCATATCTTCCTTTGTCCTCTTCTCCCATTTCATCCTCCCACACTTGTATTTTTCCTTTGGAGTTTTGTGCTTTTTGTTTTTAACTCACATTTCTAGTGTTTCAACAAGCTAATCATACACACACAAATAAGATCGAAGGGCTACAATATAAGTACATTTCATAACCTCAATTTAGTGCAACAAACAAGGGCCTCCATGTATGTATAAATAAGAGCATCATGATGGTAACATACTAACATCCTTAAATAAAACTTTGTTTTAAGGTTTAGATTTAAGGTTTTAAGGTTCGAGGCACGGCCACTGGCAGGTTTACATAGGGGAATTGCCAGTCTCGTGGGATTAGTCATTGGGCCTAGGAAGCCTTTGGGAGACCCGCGGTTATTCAAAAAAAAAAAAAAAAAAAAAAAAAAAAAAAAAAAACAATTTCCATTTCCTATGATTTTTTACAAGCCATGAAAATACAAAACTATTTTATTGCAACCACTATGCAGAGAGTTGCATATTTTATGTCTAAAATAGGACAACATTAAAGGTACTCGAATAATGTAATATTTCAAACATGTTGACCAATGAGATGGTCAAATAATAAATCCAATTCAAACACACAGACTTTTATGATACTAAGTACTAACCCATGTGTTTTCTTCTAAATTACTTCATAACGATTAATAAAATGTTTGGTCAGTCTCTTCATTAAACATTAAACAAGACTAATAGAGTAAAACTGTATTATAGTAATATGACGTATGTGACATGTTAAGGGTAAAATATAGGAAGTGAAAAGAATAGGAAAATAATTACAGATTTGGAAACTGGTGGAAGGGTAAATAGATTTTTTGTGTATAAATTACAGAATTGTTTGCTTCTGCATCTTCCTTCATTCACTTGTCAGATTAAAGAATCATTTATCCTGACACAACTTCCTACCACAAAAAAAATTTCCAATTTAATTTCATACTAACATTATAAAACTGCTTATGAAAACATACTGTATTTATAATTGCTTATTTTATTCTCTCTAATTATGTTATTATTTTTTTAGAGTGCAAAGATAACTTTGCCAGTTACATTTTTAAATGTTGAAATTGTCAGAACCTTTTACATATGTATAGAATTTTTCAGAGATTTTATAGTTATCTTAAGAGCTTAGCCGACTATTTTTTTTTGTAGAACTTATATATGAGTACTAATTAAGATAATAAAATGATGTTAATGTGTTTAGAGAACTAAATAAAGTATCAATTAAAATGTTGTGGAGTATGAACTTCTATTATTGACATGGAGGAAAATAAATGAAGTACTCTAGTAACGTAAAAGAGGCTATAAATTTGGTTTTCGTCAACGTCAATAATTATTTGTGCTGCTGTACGTTTCTACGTATTAATTATAAATAATTATCGGTGATGTGTAACTTGCGAGGTCCTCGTGAATTGAGCCATATAACGTAAACTCTTTCTTTTTTTTTTCTTTTCATGAAAGTATAATATAGGAAGATTACATCTACTGCAAATATTTATAAAAGTTTTGGAAATTAAGCGGACGAACAATACATCTAAACCCTGAAAACAACTAGTAATATTTTCATAAACTAATACTCTCTCCGATTTAATTTAGTTATCGTTTTAAGATTTAATTTTTTTTATAATCGTTGTTGTTGAAGGTTCAATGCATATGTTTGGTAAAAATTTCAGTTTTATCCCTATTGTTATAATGTTTTGACCAATAAAATTTATAAAATATATGTTAATAAAGATTAAAACAAAAAATTTAATAGTTTTTTAAATTTGTGTGAGAAAACTTTAAACGACAACTAAAAAGAAACGGATGGATTATTTTCATGAAATTTTTGTTCTGACGGAAATTAATAGTTACTTTGTAACACATTTAATTTTTTTTAATTATTTTTAACACTAAAACACGGTGTATATATATTTAATATATTTTATAATTAATGACATTAAGATGAGAATGAGACCTCTAATTACATAAAACAAAAACCGTTTCACATATCGTTTCTATTCACAGTTTAATGATTTATGTTTGAGAAATTGCATATCTATAATATAATTAATTTAGTGTGATCGTACTCAATATATTTTTATGTCACAACATGGACAATCATTTAGATTTTAGTCTAGTATTATATCATCTTAAAAGAAAGAAAAAGAAAAAAAAAAGAATATAGAAAACGTCAAGGATAATATAGATGTACATATACGAGATACCTAATAAAAATTAGTTTTGGCGGAAAGTGTGAGAATAGAAACGAATTAAGGGTCGTGTAAAATGGTATTTACTCTTATGTGTCAGCCTTTTTCTTCAGCCCGTGATGCTTGCTCGGAATCTAACTCATCATTGTCACTCATTTCTTATTTATTTTGTTTTATTTTCTAAATACAATTAATGTAATCTTTTCTTCTTTAAATAAAATAAACTACATATTTTCTTGGGAGACTCACAAAAATGCCCTTTTTCAATGAGAAAAATGTCGAAAAATTCGCGAACTTTCAAATTTGGGACGAAAAAATCATGAACTTCCGAAATGTCATTTAAATCATAAACTTTAGGTTGACTTTTTGAAAAAATAGTGAAGTTTAGTTTGACTTAGCCATTTCGGGCATGCCGTTAAATTTCCGTTAACCAGACGATCACGGTGTTAAATTTCTGTTAGAATCTCCGTTGAGTCTAAACGAGGTCGTTTTGAAACTCTGAAACGACGTCGTTTCATTAGAAAATAAGATGGAAAAACTGCATCTGTTGAGAATCGAACATGAGACCTACTGAACAATTACCAAACATATACAAATATTAAATATACTTAATATAAATATATATTTTGAAATTATAAATATTTAATTTTATATATAAAGATTTCTTCTTTATTTGGAAAATTATTTTTTCCTAAATTAGAAAAAACAAAAATGAAACTTATAGAATATAGAAAATTATATATATGACGTAAAATTTATACAATTCTTCTCACATAAATATAGGATTAAAGATTGTATAAATTATCGGAATAAAGATTGTATAAATTATAGGATTAAAAAGATTGTATAAATATATATGAGAAATTGTTAAAAATGCCCTTTTTTCAATACCCCTTTTCAAAAATGCCCCCTTTGAGAGTCCATTTTTAAGTTTGCCCTCTTTTAATTTTTAATGACCATTTTACCCTTATTTGAAACAAAATTAGGTCCACAAAATACAAAATATTTTTAGGCGGGAAAAGTGATCCCGCAATTTTCCCGCCAAAACACTTGTAAAAACCTTTAAAATACCTTGTAAAATTTTCCCGTAAAAAATTTTCCCGCCAAAATTTTTTTTTTTCGGGAAAAGTGATTCCGCAATTTTTTTGGCGAAATTGTTTTGGCGGGAAAAATTTACAAGGTATTTTAAAGGTTTTACAGAGTATTTACAAGTGTTTTTGTAAGGTTTTACAATGTATTTTAAAAGGTTTTACAAGGTACTTATAAGGTTTTATAAGGTATTTATAACTTGTAAAACCTTATAAAAACCTTGTAAAACCTTATAACTTGTAAAACCTTATAAAATAGCTTGTAAAATCTTATAATATCTTATAAATACCTTATAAATACGTTGTAAAACCTTTTAAAATACATTGTAAAACCTTATAAATACCCTGTAAAAAACCTTTAAAATACCTTGTAAATTTTTCCCGCCAAAAATTTTCCCGCCAAAAATTTAACGCCAAAAAAATTGCGGAATCACTTTTCCCGCAAAAAAATTTTTTTGGCGGGAAAATTTTTTGGCGGGAAAAATTTTTACGGGAAAATTTTACAAGGTATTTTAAAGATTTTACAAGTTTTTACAAGTGTTTTGGCGGGAAAAATTGCGGGATCAATTTTCCCGCCAAAAAATATTTTGTATTTTGTGGACCTAATTTTGTTATATTTCCTTATATATTTGTGATATCTTTTATTAAAAGAAGGGTAATTTAGTCATTTTGTACATAAAAAGGGGTATTTTTAAAAATGGACAGCCAAAGGGGGCATTTTTGAAAAGGGGTATTGAAAAAGGGGCATTTTTGTGAGTCTCCCAATATATATCCTATAAGTATGTGAGAAGGATTGTATAAATTTTCTATTTATGTGAGAAGGATTGTATAAATTTTATGTCATATATTTAATTTACTATATTCTATAAGTTTCGGTTTTTTTTTTAATAATTTAGGAAACAATTTTTTCCAAATATCGAAGCACATTATATATATAAAATTAAGTATTTAAAAATTTCAAAATATATATTTATGGAAGTATATTTAATATTTGTATATGTTTGGTTATTTTTTTTAGTTTTGTTATTGTTAATAAATTGTATATAGTTTTAATTAATTGTACATAGTTATTTGTTAGTATATATATGTTCGGTTTGGTATAATAGCAAAATGTTATTGTAGCGCAACGGTTGAGCACCTCTCATTAGTCCAGTAGGTGAGATTAGGCCTGGGCATAATACCCGAACCCGAAGAACCTGAACCGAACCCGACCCAAAAAATCCGATCCGAACCCGAACCCAAAGTTTTAAAATACCCGAACGGGTTCTAAACTTCACAACCCGAAAATCCGAACCCGAACCCGACCCGAACTCGAACCCGAACAAGTACCCGAACATACCCAAAATATAAGTACATAGTTATAATATATTAGTAATATTTATAGTTGTAATAACCTAAGTGCCTAAATTATTCGGAGGTTAAAATATTTTCGGGTGTTTTCGCTACTTTGGGTTAGATTCGGGTTAAAATACTTGAGTTTTATAGTTTTTTGAGTATTTTTCAATACTTTGCATAGAATCGGATACAAAATTTCTAATATTTGGATACTTCGGGTAAACCCGAATCCGAACCCGAAATACCCGATCCGAATCCGATCCGAACCCGAAGTTTGAAAATACCCGAACGGGTCTTAGTTTTCTAAACCCGAAAAACCCGAACCCGAAAAATCCGACCCGAACCCGACCCGAATATCCGAACGTCCAGGCCTAGGTGAGATGTTTGATTCTTAACAGATGTAGTTTTTCCATCTTATTTTCTAATGAAACGACGTCGTTTCAGAGTTTCAAAACGACCTCGTTTAGACTCAACGGAGATTCTAACAGAAATTTAACACCGTGATCGTCTGGTTAACGGAAATTTAACGGCATGCCCGAAATGGCCAAGTCAAACTAAACTTCACTATTTTGTCAAAAAGTCAACCTAAACTTGATGATTTAAATGACATTTCGAAAGTTCATGCTTTTTTCGTCCCAAATTTGAAAGTTCGCGAATTTTTCGACATTTTTCCCTTTTTTCAATACCCCTTTTCAAAAATGCCCCATTTGGCTGTCCATTTTTAAAAATACCCTTTTTATGTACAAAATGACTAAATTACCCTTCTTTTAATAAAAGATATCACAAATATATAAGGAAATATAACAAAATTAGGTCCACAAAATACAAAATATTTTTTGGCGGGAAAAGTGATCCCGCAATTTTTCCCGCCAAAACACTTGTAAAAACTTGTAAAACCTTTAAAATACCTTGTAAAATTTTCCCGTAAAAAATTTTCCCGCCAAAAAAAAAATTTTGCAGGAAAAGTGATTCCGCAATTTTTTTGGCGGAAAAAATTTACAAGGTATTTTAAAGGTTTTTTACAGGGTATTTATAAGGTTTTACAATGTATTTTAAAAGGTTTTACAACGTATTTATAAGGTATTTATAAAATATTATAAGATTTTACAAGCTATTTTATAAGGTTTTACAAGTTTTTTATAAGGTTTTACAAGTTATAAATACCTTATAAAACCTTATAAGTACTTTGTAAAACCTTACAAAACACTTGTAAATACTCTGTAAAACCTTTAAAATACCTTGGAAATTTTTCCCTCCAAAAACATTTCGCCAAAAAAATTGCGGAATCACTTTTCCCGCAAAAAAAAATTTTTGGCGGGAAAAATTTTTACGGGAAAATTTTACAAGGTATTTTAAAGGTTTTTACAAGTGTTTTGGCGGGAAAATTGCGGGATCACTTTTCCCGCCAAAAAATATTTTGTATTTTGTGGACCTAATTTTGTTTCAAATAAGGGTAAAATGGTCATTAAAAATTAAGAGAGGGCAAACTTAAAAATGGACTCTCAAAGGGGGCATTTTTGAAAAGGGATATTGAAAAAGGGGCATTTTTAACAATTTCTCTTTTTTTTTTTTTTTTTTTTTTTTTTTGAACAAACACAGATTTTTCTTCTCTTATGCGTTTAGATTATTATGTAAATGTTGAAGAGTGTAGATATTGTTTGTTTGCTCAATTTAACATTTTCATTAGGACATTCTTATGTTCGACTGCTTTTGAATCTTTTTTTTTTATTTAATACAAAAGCAGTTTGGATGGAGTTTTTCTTTATCTAAATCTATATTTAAAAAAACTTACAAAATTATCTTTTTAACCACTTGCAATTTTTGGCTAGATTAAATTTTTTGCATTGATGTAGCGAAATTAATATTTTGCTTCGGAACCAAAAAAAATTGCGAAATCGTTTTTTCTACACTAGAGTAATAATTAGATTTTTGATTATTGAAATTTGAAAACATTGGTTGATACGAATCCATTTTTCAGTTCTCTCAAATCTTATCTCACGCAAGTGTTTCTGGCGAATAACCAGAGAAAAAATTGTTTGTTAGTGCTTCGTTTTTATTCAGGTAAATAGTGATTGATTGATGTTGTAGAAAGTGCTTCCATTTCAAAACACTTGAACCAAGTTGTAGTTGTAGTTATAGCTATTGGATATAGGTCTTATGGTTACATACTAAAAGATTCGTCTTTGACATCAAATGCAAATTGCTACTATTTAGTGAGTCACAAACTCATACAAGAAGAAGATTGAACTAAGAGTGCTTGGTTAACACTGGTTAACTCTTAATTACTCGGTTTAACTAAACCGTTTACAATCACTCTACATGGGTCTTTTGCTGTATCCTAAACTGCTAAACCTCAATAACAGCAATTAGCATATCGTAAGGCTAAAGTTTCATGTCTAAATTGACCAAATCATAAACTCTTCAATGACTAGGGTCTCATTCGCATATAATAGATGGTTAATGTACAAAACTACCAACAATGATAGTATTATGAGACTCAACACATAACAAGCTATCAAGTAATTTGATTATAATCTCCAGACACTTTTTCGATTTTTAGGTCTGTTTTCGTTATTCGATAAGTAGAGTAACTGCAAACTTTGTTCGATATTCACAAATTGTCTGTGTTTATAAACGAGAATCAAAGAACAAATGTCGAATTTGAAATCAATATAAAATACAACATTGATCAAACCCTATTTACACTATTTACACAAGCAATGCTAGTAATTTAAAAAAGAGTCTCGCACAGTAAAGACAAACCCAAAGATAGTTGGAGATCTTCTCCGCTTTCATCGCATTAGATAGACCTCTTATAACTTTCAGAGAGCCCTAAGAACAACCTTGCTGGTCGCATGAACACCCTTAGCAGCTATCTTCAGCGCACCACGAGCTTGGTATAACCTGAAAGCAAACGCCAAAACACTACTTAGCTGAATCGAAATATTTGTGTTTCAACATCTCGAGATCATTAGCAGAAAGCAGACATACCCTCCAAATGCAAGTCCCCAAGTGGACAGTGTGTAGAACATTTTCCCAGCATGCCATATATCCACTACCTTCCCAACCTTGCTTAAAGCAGTAACTTCTTGGACCAGAACTGCAAAATTAAACCGGTCGATAAGCCACATAAACAAACTAGAAATTACCGGAAGATTGGTGACACAAATCTAATAGTAACCCCGAGAATACCGCTAATTCTTCCCACTTTTGTGATTATTAACAACTATATAAAGCAGTATACTCGGGGATATCATCATATCAACCAAACTCTATATAAAACACTCAAAGATATATCAAGCTGAATTGTAAACTTACGTTTCTGAAGCTCGTCAGGTTTGAGATTCTGCAATTGGAAAGTAATAGCCAAGTGAATAAGAGATTTGAAGTAAGTGAAAATCCAAAACTGAATACTCAAAGAAGCTAACGATACAAATACAATACCTTAGCTTTGGGATTTGACATGATACATTTAGCCAAGAAGTGAGCAACAGCATCAATCACATGTTCTTCATTCACAACAATGTAATGATCATTATCGATCGCACTTTGTTCCTCGACATTACTAGGAACCATATCATCAGTAACCAAAACCCACCAACTTGGCTCTTGATGATCCATCTCTATAAGAACTTCAACAGTCTTCACATCATCTTCTGAAACAAATAAACCCATCAACACAATTTCTTCTAAAACCTTCAAAATCGAAATTCAAAATCATCGAAAAAATCGATAAACACACACCTGTTGGTTCCTTGAATGGAAATTGATTCTGAGTTCCATTAGATAAAGCTTGTCTTAGATTCTCTAATCTAGCCAAGAAATCTTTCGAAGTAACCATCGATACAAGCCGAGCATAGAGCTGATTTTGAAATTTCAACAAATTTGTTAACAAATCCCTAAAAATTTCGAAATTGAAATTGTTTATATGCTTACGTCGCTAGGGCAATCGTGAGATAACGCAGCAGATTCAGCGAGAGTCTCAAAAAGCTTTAGATTCGCTTCAAGCAAAGTCCTAAGACGACGATTCTCTTGACGAAGAGCTTCTAATTCACGATCTCGTGGATCGGAAATCGGATTCGTTGACTCGTGATTCTCGTCATGGTGGTGGTGGTGGTGATGGTAGGTTTCAACGGCGGTCCAAGCCACGTCGGCTACTTCTAGCACCGTCTTTGTCACTTCGATCGCGTGGTGGCTCGTCATGGTTTTTGATCTTCTTCTTCTTCTTCGCCGTCTCTGGATATGATAAATTCTGATTTACGGATATTTCCAAGGAAACTACTTGTCGTTTGCGTGTTTGGAAACGACAAGCAAGCTTTATATATTAAAATTACATAAATACTTTTTTAGTTTGTTATTGCCAAATACGCCCTTCTCTACTAATGTATTTCAGATTTCTACCATACTATAGACTTATTGACGTTTTGTGTTTTTCTTTAGTAACGTCATGCCGTTTTATGTTTTGTTTTGGATACATTTTGCCGTTTCTTTTTTCTCGCTGAGGTTTTAATCACTTCATCTTTTTTTCCTCCAAACATAATTCAAAAACTCTCACTTATTGTTATTACTCTCTTTTCTGCTCAATATTTTAAAAACTAATTTTACCTTTTTAACTCTACAACAAATTTTATCACCAACAAACTATTATAAGCAACCAATGACTCCACTCCATTCCACAAAAAAAAACCACCAATCAAAATCATTTTCTCTATTTTCTCATTAACAAAAAAAAAAAACAATTCTTTCCGAGATTCTGCAACCTCCAAACCTATATCTCATCTTTTCTTCTTCTCCATCTACCACTAAAGCTCAAATAAGGTAGTTTTTTTTGTTTTTTTTTTTCATATTCTCTAGATAAGCAATGTGACAAAAACTTCATTAGATATATCATTAGATAATGAAATTGTTGTGAAATCTCAATTGAATTGAAATAATTGTATATTTATAAATTTGTTTGGCTTTTATGTTAATGAAGGTTGGTAGAGTTGTTTTGTAGTGTATTAAGGTCTCACGTTGATAATTATGATTGAGAAAGGTTGGATTCATAGCTTGAATGCGGAATTTAGTAGGAAAATTTGGAGATCTTGAAGATTTGGGACAACTAGAGTACAACTATGTAAAATATTTGTGGAGACAAAAATTGGTACAACTGGAACAAATGGGTACAACTATGTTTATGGACTGCAACAAAAAATGTAAAATTATAGACCGTTTTCTTTCTCTCATCTGTTTAAAGTGTCAATGAAAAAGACTTCAGTCATACGTTTTGCTTTTGATAGATACTATTCAAGTATCTGAGAAGATGTACGATAGATTTTAAGAGAAGATAAAGAAGTGTATTTTTTCTTATGAAGTCATCGATTGGAGAGGTATCATATGCTAAGTTGGTTGAAACGATATGCAGCAAGAAAAGGGTATATGAGGCTACGACGAAGCTGAGAGTTAGTTATTTTTTCTTCTCTTTCCCACAACATAATGTAATACAAAATTATATTCGAGATGATGAAGATGTTGTGTGTTATTTAAATGATGTGAGTGAAGAAGAGTTTAGAAGTGTTTTGCATGTTGAAGTTACCAATGATGATGAACAAAAATCAAGGGATTAATGAAAATGAGAGGTTTGATTAAGTTTTAAGAGAGTATTTGGTAAGAAAATATGTTGCAAATAATGAAGAGATTCCTCTAATTGGTAGAGCGAATGATAGTGGTGGTGGTGGTATCTTTACTATGCACGCTAGAGACCAATCACAACATATTCCGTTGGTAATGGAGAATGAAGATATAGATGCAGAAGGAAATGAATCCATACCTCTTTTATGGAAAGATGATCTTGGTATTACAGTAGGCCAAGAATTCGGAAGCAAAGAAGCAATACAAAGTTTAGTTGAAAACATAATAATTGTTTTGAGTTTGTTGTAAAAAATTCGGATCTGTTGAGATATGTGGTAAAATATTCGGAAGCACATCATGGTAGTGATTGGTATATACGAGCTGCGATGAGTGATACGTCTAAGCGTTTCTCGATACGAAGTCATAGAAATATTCATTCATGCTTTCGTTCAAGTATAAGTACAAGGCCAAGTAGAACGAAAGACACACCAACTATGGTTGTTTCTTTTTTGGCTGAAGGTTATCCGGGTAAAATTGTCATGCCAACTCTAAAAGATCTCATTGATTTGGTTCAAGGAAGATTTGTTGTACAAGTGTCATACTCTACCGCACGAAGAAAAAAAAAAAAGAAGTTGCAAATGATGTTCGAGGTACCCTAGAGAAAGGTTTTAGGCTTTTGTATTCTTATATGTTTATGTTAGAGAAGATGAATTTTGGTACAATTTCATATGTGGAAGTGGATGAGGAACAAAAGTTTAAGAACTTATTCTTCGCATTGGGAGTTTCCATTGAAGGCTCCTGAGTCAAAAGAAAAGTGATCATTATTGATGGAACTCATCTTAAGACTACATATGGTGGAGTGCTAATTGTTGCTACAGCTCAATATCCCGATCATCATCTGATTGCTTTTGCTATAGTGAATGGTGAGAAAAATGAAAGTTGGACTTGGTTTCTCAAAAAGCTCAAATCGATTATATCAGATGATCCTGAAATTGTGTTTGTTTCTGATAGAAACTAAAGTCTCATCAAGGCAATATATGTGGTCTATATGTTGTCTCACCATGAGCATTGTATCTACCATTTGTCTCAAAATGTGAAAGGAAAGGTTTTTGGAGTAAGCACAACAATATGTACAAAAAAGTTCATGCGATGTGCTCGGGCTTATACGGATGCAAAATTCTTATAGCTTTATGGTGATTTTTTTGTCAACATATTCTTCGGCATATTTGTATCTAGATGAGTGGACGGATGTGACGAAATGGGCTAGATGTTATTTTGGAAGAGAAAAGTACAACATAGACACAAACAATGTTGTTGAATCTATTAATGGTGTTTTAGAAAAAGCAAAGAATTACTCACTATTACAAATGATAGATGCGATTATGGAGAAAATGGCTGAGTGGTTTGCAAAATATAGAAAAGCTTCTAGAGAATTACCAACTAGACAGTATTGGGTTCTTTTTGTGGAGAATGAACTCCCGAAGCTTTTCTATAGTTATATTTAGTCAATAATTTTACTAGTTAAAAAATTATAGAAAAGACAAAGTAAAGAGACATATAGTAGATGTTAAAAACAAAGCATATAGTTGGCTTAATGTGCTCATAAAGATTTGTATGTGGTGGTAAAGAACATATTCCAACAGTAAAATATGAGTTGGTGTAAAAACACATTTCATTGGTAAAGTACAGTTGATTTGTAAATGAAGGTAAATAAGATAACAGTTTGACGGGTGCTTTGCATGTAAAATTTTTTTGAGAAGAAGTTTGTGAAATCATATTTTAGGAAAGATTACGAAACTTTGTTTTTTGAGGAGGCAATTATAATAATGATGAATATGTGACAAAAGTTTTGGTGATTGAGAATTTAACTTTACTAGATTATTGTAATAAATCCTATAATAAATATAAAATATATAAATGAAAATTAGTGTACTAAGGTAAAAAATTATGCATTTTTCATAGAAACAAAATCTTTGTAACAAAAGTATCTTGCAAAATAGCTATCGCAAATTTTCAACGGAATTTCTTCTATGTTTTGCGTAGGTATGATTTACGATAATATAGTGTTGCAAACGGGTGGTAAATACAAGACAAAACTTCTCAAAAGTATTGTTGCATTAATACAATATCTATAGCTAGAAATGTGTGTTCACTGAATCATAACTGGGGTGTTCACTTTTTTCAAGGTGGAAGCTATGTTGGACAAGATTATATGCATACCAAATCTTACTTGAACCAAATCAATAAGATCTTTCAGAGTTAGCGTGGTAATTTTACCCAAATAATCTTCAGCAAAAAATGAAGCAACCATAGTTGGTGTGCATCTCCTTCTACTTCGCCATGTACCTATACTTGACCAAGAGCCTGAAGTAATATTTCTATGAGTTTGTATAGAGAAACGCTTAGACGTTTCACTCCTCGCAGCTTGTAATATCAATCGCAACCATGATGTGCTTCAGAATATTTTAACACACATCTCAACGGCTCCAAATTCTTAATAGCAAACTCAAAACAATTCTTATGTCCAGCCTTTTCAACTAAACACTGTATTGCTTCTTTGCTTCCAAATTCTTGGCCTACCTAATATCAAGATCGTCTTTTCATAAAAGGGGTGTATGGATTCATTTCTTTCTATATCTCTATCTTCATTCTCCATTACCACCAGAGTTTATTGTGATTGGTCTCCAACGTGCATAGCAAATATACAACCACCACCACTATCATTTGCTCCACCAAATAGAGGAATTTTTTCATTATTTGCAATATATTGCCTTACCAAATCATCTTTTAAAACTTGATCAAACCCCTCATTTTCATCATTCCTTGATTTTGTTCATTATTATTGGTAATTTCGACATGCAAAACACTTCTAAACTCTTCTTCACTCACATCATTTAAATAACACACAACATCTTCATCATTCCGAATATAATTTGGTATTACCTTATATTGTGGGAATGGGAAGAAAAAGTAACTAACTCTCAGCTTCGTCGTAGCCACATCTACTTTCCAATCGATGACTTCATACGAAAAAAATACACTTCTTCATCTTCTTTTGAAATCCATCGTACATCTTCTCTGATACTTGAGTAGTATCCATCATAAGCAAAACGTATGACTGAAGTATTTTTCATTGTCACCTGAAAAAGAAAAAGAGAAAAAAAATGGTCTTTAATTTTACATTTTTCGAAGCAGTCCATAAACATAGTTGTATCCCATTGTCCCAGTTGCACTAATTTTTGTCTCCGTAAATATTCTACATAGTTGAACCCAAAGCTGTCAATTGTCCCAAATCGTCAATCCCCAATTTTTCTACTAAATTCCCCATTCAAGCTACGAATCCAATATTTCTCAATCATAATTATCAACGTGAGACTTTAATACACTAAATCAATTCTACTAACCTTCGTAAGCATAAAAACCATACAAATTTATAAATCTACAATAATTTTAATTCAAATTGAGATTTCACAACAATTTCATTAGCTAATGCTATATCTATTTAGGTTTTGTCACATTACTAACCTAGAGAATATGAAAAAAAAAAAAAAATTAAAACTACCTTGAAGTGAGGTTTAATGGTGGATGGAGAAGAAGAAGATAAGAGATATGAGTTTGAAAGTTGCAAAATCTCAAGAAGAAGAAAAATCGATTTTTTTTTGTGGTTAATAAGAGAGGAG